TACTCTTGCAATTTAATCACAAGCTATAGAAGAAGCTTTGCTGCTATATAGGATGTAACGAATAGATAGTGTCGGTGTTCTATGAAATGCCATTGTGACGTCACTGGCGATGTCACGCACAGAAATGCAGTCCGTTCCCTCTCGCACGACATGGCCGATCGGCGCCATGAAAACACAGAATGTGAACTCTTTCGTGCATGTTTGTGGCTGTACATCATTTGCATGCAGTGTAAAGGTTACCGGCACATATAAGAAAGAAAAAAAAGATGCATATTAACGATAAACAGAGGAATTTATGTAGCATGAGGCGAAGAAAAAAAAAAAGGTCAGACTCTTAGATAATCAATACTAATAACGAAAGGAAAAAAAACAGTGTAAAATTCTTCGTAAACCTTTGCATGCGTTGTTGTGATGATTCCTTTACGAACTTATTACGAGAGAAGTGACGTTAGTTTTTAGAGTAGTGAGTTCTGCCATTTTGTAACTCGATAATTAGTCAAGAGACGGTGTGCTGTCCCGTGGTTTTCGTGTCTTGTCTTCGTGCAGTGTGAGTCTAGTTATGAATTGAGGTTTCAGTTCGATTTAAACTCTACGATCTAGAGGATCGACATTTAACCTTTGCCCTTCCTGAACACCCCTGAATTCCACCCCTCGTATGACAGTAGTCGCTGGAGCGCAGGACAAGAGCTTTTCTCTGTGGTAGCTCCGATGTAGTTGGTAGGAACTGGCGGAGGAATTGTACCTGTGGTCGTTTGTTGTCTGTGCGTCTCCGCGTTTCCTAGTTTATTCTCTGGACAAAAGTATGGAAGCCTGTTTCCGCTACTAAATAAAAAGGGTAATTGCGACCTATTATCTCACAAATCTGACTTTTTTTTCCTCTGAATTGCGTGACATAAACTCGCAATTGCGAGATATTAAGTCGAAATTTACTAGGATACTCCCAAGACAATTGTTTGTGAAATTTTCCGTTCAAGCGCAAGAAGACGTGAAAGAGAGCTTAATTCAGCATTCACGTGGCTTTCTGGGAGCGTGCTTCGGATGTGCAGTTTGCGCAGGCAAAACTTCTCACACAGTGTGCGCGAGTTATCTTTCGTGTCTTCTGGCGCTTGAATGTTTAAATTAGCAAGGCTAACGACACAGCACAGTCCGATTGGGACAGTGGCAGTTCTGTCAACGAGCCCTGCGTGTGCTCTCTCTTCCTCTCACGGTGAGCACTAGAGGGCGCTCTTAGCCAAGCCACGGTGCGTCAAGCAGAAAGTATATTTCGTTTTTTTACGCGTACGCAGTCGAACGCGCAGCCTTGCGACTTCTTTTGACTCGTACACGTACACAGGCGTTCCACGCATGCAGTTTTGCGCAATCTCTCATGCTAGAGTTACAACCCATGGTATTGATTCATGCTAGAGTTGTACAAATGAGGGTACTTTCTAACTCTTGTCACGATCTCTCGTCTATGTAGCTAGCATTGTCGCTGTAGCTAGCAGCTAGCAAAACTAGCTAGTTTTGTTTACGCAGTTTTTCTTCGACTACCTTGTGAATCGACACCCCAAGGGCACCGTTGCCACCGGATAAACTAATTACTGTTAAATGTTTTGCATGAATTGCAAGAAATGAAGTCAGAATTGTGAGATAAGTCGCAATTATCTTTTACATTGTTTATTACGTGGCGGAAAAAGCTTCCATTCAAAAGCTATCGGTAAGAAGAACAGACATGGAGAAAAGAGAGGAGAGAGACGTTACGAAAGGAAACCTGTCTGCGATTATATTAGTGTAGCGGAGCCGCTTTGATTTTCCGAGCGATCAGGTGATCCTCTGCATCCGACCGGATCGGTCTTGTGGACAATCTCTACAGAAGCAGTGGACCGGCCGTCCGTTTGGGACTGTACTGTTCTTTCTGTCGTTCTTTTTTGCACTCTATATCCTTTTATTGGCGGGTTCGGTGAAGAATTCAGTGCCCTCGTCGTACTGTCGTGTATGTGATTTAACCTTTCAAGTGTCAACAGTGTGTTTTATTTATTGCGTATATCTGTGTATATTTATTTGTTGACGTGTCCCAGACTCTGGAGGACACGTGATGCACTACCTTTTCAGATTTCTCTCCTCTCCTTTCACCTCTGAGAGAACCAATCCCTCTTTCCCTGACGTTTGGAGTCGAACGCAAAACAGTCTTTATTTTATTTTGAATCACGTCACTTTTTTTTGTTTTGTTTTGTTTTGTATATGTGTGTGTGTACTATTTCATTCTAGAAGAATTGCGACCTATTTTAAGTCTATTGGATAATTTAAATATCTTTATTTTTGCATAGTAACTTATTTGATGTATTGTGTAAGACGCCGGACCCAGATTATGGTCATCCGCTCTGAATAAGTAGCGAAGGTGTTTCTGGGAACTGAAACCCGCAGTCCTTTTTCCGTGTTCAACACTGTTGCTTCATACGTGTATGTGTGGGTTTTTCGTTGTTGTCGTTTTGAAAAATCATATTTATTTGACTATTTTTGTAGACAGATAACTATTTGATTTAAATTGTATTTTTCTATTTCTGTAGACCTCTGACTGTCACTTGATTTGCCCACGTATTTATGGTTACGTTCACACGCAAAAGGCTGTTTCTTGAATCATCATCATCATCATCATCATCCGTGCAGTTGTGTATGTGTGTGTGTGTGTGTGTGTGTATGAATCTATTTATGTATTATTGCTTAGCACACATGGATTTGATTACTATTTAAGTTGGTGGTGTAGTTTATTTGAAGGAAGGAAGCATTGAGGGTTCTACTATGTTCATGGAAAACACTTGAGACTCTCCCTGGTTAGATGGAGGGGTATCAGCCCTCCCCTCACTGATACTCAGAAACTTGAATATAACACATTTTGAAAGGCTTACTAACCTCGAATCTGTGTTGTGACGTGCAATACTGTTTCTAATGTTTGTATAAAAAAAGTGAGAATTGCAGTGTATACCTTTTTAAATGCAGATTTATTTTTTTCATTGCATATTTTGCAAATTTCTGATTCACAGTGTCATTTTTTACTGTCAGAAAAGATGAAACCCCTTTTTTTCATTGCAACTATTTTTAAATCCAGATATCTTTGTACTGATGTAAATGATTGTAGTTATTTTGGATAGTGTTTTGCTAACAAAAGGAGAAACTTTTTCATGCATATTTCTATTTCTTTTTTGTTTGTTGGTTTGTTTCTTGTTTTTTTTATTTTACTCTAATAGTAGCGAAATATTTGGGATAATTTTTCATATTATATGTCATTAATATTATTTTGTATTTTTATGTGGAAAGATATGAATATATAATTTTATGATGCTAACTGCTAAGATATTATTTCAATTTGAATTATTTTTAAAGCTAAAATCTTTGTAATAATGTTAATGTTCTAGTTTCTAAATCAAGTTTGTGTATAGATTCACACAAGTGGTTTAGGAAGTGTTCAGACTGTAATTATTACTGAATGGCTCTTTGATATGCAAACTGAATATCATGTTGTTCCTTATTTTTTGATTTGTTTTGTATTTAAATGGGGTGTTGATTACAATCTTTTTCTTTGATTTCCTGAATAAAGACCCATTCTGTTCAGACACAAGCCACGTCTCAGCTGGATTCTTTGGTTGAAATATGTGTGGTTTGGTCTAGTTTTTGCCATGTTGTTTGACATTTAGGAAGAAATATGGCAGTGGCTGTGATTATTGTACAAAGCACTTTTTATGAAGTCGTTTTGTAAAGATTTCCACACGCAGCTCACGAGAGGAATTTAATTCACGAGCCCTCAGGCGCCCCCTGGAGGACAAAACACTGTCCAACCCGGAAGACTCTTTTGTTTTTGTTTTAAACACTGATAAATTCATTAATTGAAAAATATATATTATCCGCCTGGTAAGTTGAAAATTACCTGCAATATATATATATATATATATATATATATATATATATATATATATATATATATATATATATATATATATATATATTTATATATATATATATGTATATATGTATATATATATATATATATATGTATATATGTATATATATATATATATATATATATATTATAGGATGTAGGCCAAGACGAATTCACAACATAACCTCTGACCGATGAATGACCCGCCTATATATGTGACGTTACAGTGCCTGGCTCCGCCCATAAGTCATATGTCGTTTAGTCCTGAATGAGAACAGAAACCGAAACTTCAGGTGAAGCGTTTCCTCACAGGTAGGCCTGTATAACCGCAGCTCCTCCGACGCACAAACACAAACAAGGTAGCCTAAATACACTTGTGCAGTTGTACATCCCCTCAGAATTTGGTAAAACTGTAAAATAAGATAACAGATTCCCCGTTGGCGAAGATAATATTTTTACATTAAGCTTTTCCCGTCTTAAAAAGAGTAAAAATATGACAGGACAATGTTATTCATTCGTCGAAAGTTTGTGGGAACTCTGCGAAATTGTGTGTTTGTGTTGAAGGTGATGTAAAGGCCATTCAAATTGGTCATGTGGAATTCTGTAAAAAATATTCGGTGTTTCAGAAGCTGCTGAATGGCCCAAGATGAGTGAATAAGAACCAAGATGACCGTGAAGATCAAATTCAGGTTTATTTACTTCTTTAAAAATGCCTTGTGAAATTCAGTTTCCTTCAGTGTTCAAATTTAATGGGAGAAGGAAAGGAGAAAGAAAAAATATGTCTCTCATAATTTGAGAAAACACGTAAATAAATAAAACATTTATTCCAGCATGAGAATTAAACAAGTAATCTTACACTAGACATGATTAGGAAGTTCTAATGTAATTTTATTATTATTATTATGTATGCTACTTTAAGCACTACATAGAAGCCTTTTTTTTTCTTTTATTTTTTTTTAAGTCGTCCACATTTATAAATCCGAACACTGGTGGCAATCATGTTATGCACATACTAGTTCAGGCAAGCAAATATAAGGTATATGGAAGTGTGCAAATGATGTTCAACTGACAGAAAGCACTTTTTAGGACAGAGTAAGGTGGGCTGAAAAACGGCACCATGAGTGAGTCTAATGAAATCAAAGATAATGTTGCAACCAGCCATGAGGACAAAGATGACGCCAGCTTCTCTCCTACTGAACCTCACATGTCCAAAGAGTCCGAAAGGTACGTTTTTTTTTTTTTGCTTATTACTGCATTTTCAACTAGAAAGAAAAATATATATATTTTCCATCTTCTCAGCATGTCTTTAATACAATTTGTCAATTTGATTGTTTTATACTAAAGTATTTTGATTAGAACAGTTATTAAAATGAGCCTTATTCAGTTCCTGTTATTGACTATGGTGTTTTTCTAGTGTTGAGGTTCATCAGCAGAAGAGAGTTGCATCTCCAGTGCTTAGCTGTGTTTCTATGAAGAGTGATGCGTCAATGGATCCTCCAATTAAATTCCAGCAGGAAGATCCATGGTAAAACACATTTACTCAGTGAGGCTATAGTGGTGCCATGCCTTGCTGATTTGACTGACGGCTTTCTCATCATGAGCCAACATTCAAAATGTTTCTTTCCTAGTTTAGTTTGCTAAATGTCTGTACTTGGAGCAGAAAATATAGATTCAAAAGCACGATTGTCGATGCTCATTTTTAGTTGTAGGTGAACATTTTTAATATCCAGTTCATATGAAGTGTAAATATTTTCTAATAGTAACTCGATTTTAAACCGAAGTGGGTTATAGCCGAAATCACAATAAACTTATTCTGTGGATTATTGTGTTTATATGTTAACTCCAACTCTCCCGCCATATCTAGATTTAAAATGAACCGCGCGGACTTGACACCCTGGGTCACATGACCATAAACGATTAAATTACTTCCTTGTAGTGACCATAGCACATTCCCTTTTCTCACAAACTTGTGGAAGGGCCCTTTGTGAAGGGATTCAGTTGTTCACTTTCTTTTGGAACGGCACTACAAATGGCGTCCCCTTCCCGAAATGCCCTTCAAGGGTGCAAAAATGCAGTTTGGAATTCGCCCTATGGAAACAAAAAAAGGCAGCTACGGAAATTAAGGCAAACAGAAACTAAACACAGTAAGTTAAACACTGGAAGAAGGGGAACAGAAAATAGACTTCAAAATAAAAGTCCATGTATCAAAACCAAGAAACACAGATCAAGAGAACATGTAATAATTACTCAATGACAGAAAAATAAGAATTTGCAAAACGACTTTCAGTCATTCAAGATGTACATTTTATAAGTATTCATGTTCAGTTAAACCCATGTGGTGTTTGCACTGTGCTCTACCATTTGAGCTCCCTTCACACCATGTACGTATGATGACGTTCTTCTCTTGACTTTATGAATAAGGTTTTTCAGCCATTAAATCACTGTGTTCTGTTCTGTCAAAGTCTCCCAGCAGATTGGCTTGGTTCTTCCGCCAACACCCATGTGTCCGTTCAGAGTAACTGGTCAATGGATCCACCAACTAATCTCCATATGGCTGATTCTGTCTTGTATGTCTGGTCTTGTATTCTTTTTTCCCCTACTTACATATTCAATCATAAATTTGCATATTTTTTAAAAGTTTAATACATTGTTTTGTTCGCAGAGAGCAGCCAGTAGAATTGCACACTCAGTCATCCCAAAAGACACAAATGGCTGCTATTTTGAGGGTTAGCCTTTTTTCATGTTTTACATCATTCACATTCAAAAGAACAGTATATAATGGAATGAAATATTGTCTGAATATATTTTTCGTTTTTGTGCATTTGCCTTAGCAACTTCAACGCAATGTGATCACTTTTGTAAAGAAGGAGCTCAGAAAAATCAACAGCGTTTTGGACTCTGATCTCACAGAGTGTACAGAGAGTCAACCAGAAGGAGAAGAAGATGGTCTTGAAGCCAAAGAAGCAGCAGTCAAAATCACATTGCACATATTGAAGTGTATGAAGGAGCAAAGCCTATTTGACAAGCTACTTCAATGTTAGTATGTGTGTAAGAATAGAACATAGTTATCCATTAAATACAGACAAAGTAACAATTTGATTATCTTCCTTATTGTATTTAGTTCATCAAATTGATGCATGTCAGCAAAAGCTTAAATCCAGTTTGAAGAACAGGAGCCAATGTGTATTTGAAGGGATTGCTAAGCAAGGAAATCCATCCCTACTCAAGAAGATCTACACAGAGCTCTACATCACAGAAGGAGGGAGTGGAGAGGTCAACAATGAGCATGAGGTGAGGCAGATTGAGACAACATCCTGGAAACCAGAGACACAGGAATCACAGATCAAATGTAATGACATCTTTAAAGTCCTACCTGGGCAAAACAAACCCCTCAGAACTGTGTTGACTAAAGGAGTTGCTGGAATCGGGAAAACAGTCTCTGTGCAGAAGTTTGTTCTGGACTGGGCGGAAGGAAAAGCCAATCAGGATGTTCATTTCGTGTTCCCATTGCTTTTTCGGGAGCTTAATTTGATTGGCAAAGAGGAGTACACTTTGGAGAAACTTGTTAATTGGTTCTTCAGAGAAATTGAGGGATTCAAACTTTCAAACTTTGAGAAATACAAAGTCATATTCATCTTTGATGGTTTGGATGAGTGTCGACTACCTCTTGATTTTAGGGACAACATACGGTGCTCTGATATAACTGAAACAGCCTCAGTGGACGTGCTGCTGACCAACCTCATCAAGGGGAATCTGCTTCCTTCTGCTCTCATCTGGATCACCTCTCGACCGGCAGCAACCAGTCAGATCCCTCCCGAGTGTGTCGACCAGATCACAGAAGTACGTGGGTTCAATGACCCTCAGAAGGCAGAGTATTTCATGAAAAGAATACCTGATCAGAGTCTGGCCAACCAAATCCTCACACACATCAAATCATCTAGAAGTCTGTACATTATGTGTCACATCCCAGTGTTCTGCTGGATTTCAGCCACTGTTCTAGAGAGAATGTTGGGTGCCAAAGAGAGTTGCCACATCCCCAAGTCTCTAACTGAAATGTACACACACTTCCTGATTTTCCAGACAATACAGATGCAGGATAAGTACAGGGAACTACATCACTCGGATCCACACTTGACTAGAGACAACATTCTGTCACTTGGAAAACTGGCCTTCCAGCAATTGAGGAAAGGTTTTGTGATCTTCTATGAAGAAGACCTGACAGAGTGTGGCATTGATGTCAAGGATGCATCACTATACTCAGGACTGTGCACGCAGGTCTTCAGAGAGGAGTTTGGCTTATTCCAAAGGAAAGTCTTTTGTTTTGTGCATCTGAGTTTTCAAGAGTATCTTGCAGCTTTGTTTGTTCACCTTCACTGGTTTACAACTCAAAAGACCAGCAGCGATGAATTCAATATACCAATTCAAGACACAGACTTCGGAAAGCTCTGCATGGATTCATCTCTGTTTGACCTACACAAGAGTGCTGTAAATCAGGCTTTAGAGTCGAGGAATGGGCACTTTGACCTTTTCCTCCGCTTCCTCCTCGGCCTTTCACAGGAGCGCAATGAGACCTTGTTTCAACACCTTTCAGTACAAATTGGACACATTGCACACAGCAGTGAGGACACAGTCACGTACATAAAGGATAAGCTTGGGACAGGTCTTAGCTCAGAGAGGTCCATCAATCTATTCCACTGCCTCAATGAACTGAACGACCATTCTCTTGTCAAGGAAATCCAAACCTTCCTTCACTCTGGAAGACTTTCAATGGAGGTACTTTCAAATGCACAGTGGTCGGCTCTGGTCTTTGTGCTGCTCACCAGTGACGAGGGACTGGAGATTTTTGACTTGAGAAAATTCTTCAAATCAGATGATTGTCTTTTCAAGCTTCATCCCGTTGTCAAAGTCAGCCGGACTGCCATGTAAGTGTCATCAACTTCCTCACTTGAAAAATCATCTAAATAAAGGTTCAGTATTGAACACGTTTTAAGAAATGTATTACATAATTCTTAGATTGTCCTCGTGTAAACTGACGAAGAAAAGCTGTCCAGCTCTGGCTTCTGTTCTTGAGTCCAATCCCAATGTTCTGAGAGAACTGGACCTGAGTTTCAATGAGCTTGAAGACAGAGGGGTGAAAAGTCTCTGCTCTGGGCTGAGGAGTCCACATTGCAAACTAGAGACACTAAAGTACCTCTATTCTATTAACAGTATTACAATCAATACAATTGGTAAATGGCTGTCCCTCTAACCTGTAATTTTTTTTCTAGATTGGAGTTTTGTGGACTCAGAAGAGACAGCTGTTCAGCCCTTGTTTCTGCTCTTAGGTCAAACCCATCACATCTTAAGGAGCTGGATCTGAGCTACAATAACATTGGAAATGAGGCCGCAACCTGGCTTGTGGGTTTATTGCCTGACTGTGGGCTGGAGACTCTCAGGTCTTTTTTATTTATTTTACTCATTTTTCTTCAGTGACATTTTGATAAATATTGATATGGCAGTTAACAACTTAGTTCAGGGTTCGAAATTCTTTGGCCAAATTCACTCTTTCCGTAATCCCTTTCGTGAAGTAAATTTGTCTTTGAATGGGTTGGAAAATGTAACAAATTTGCTCTTTCCAACCAAACCATGCAGTGCAGACCAATTGGTTGTGCACTAAATCGGTGTTTCCCAACCCTGCTCCTTGAGGCACACCAACAGTGCACATTTTGGATGTCTCCCTTTTCTGACCCATATATTTCTGGTCTTGGAGTCTCTACTAACGAGCTGATGAGTTGATTCAGGTGTGATCGATTAGGAAGAGTTGGAAAATGTGTAGTGTCGGTGTGCCTCCAGGAACAGGGTTGGGAAACACTGCACTAAGGCCCTGTCCACACGGACACGGGTGTTTTTATAACCGTGACTTTTTTTACGCGGGTTCGGCCGTTCGTCCACACGAAAACGCACTGAAACCGAACATTTTTGAAAACCCCTGCCAGGGTGAGGATTTTCAGAAACGCCGGTTACAGTGTTGTCGAGTAGACAGTGAAACCGGGGTTTTTGCCTTGCGACGTCAGAGTGTGCGCCGTTAAGCGCTGTGTTTGACGTCAGATTTGCGCTTCTGATTGGCCAACGTGGCTTTACGGTTAAGGTTTATATCGCCGCCTGCTGGCGTGGCATGCTCTTGACCGCGCTTGATTGCGTGTTTTTACGTTTTCATGTAGACGGAGACCGAGCATGTGTGGATGGGATTTTTTTTTAAACGCTGTAGGAAAAACTCCGGTTATAAAAATACCCGTGTCCGTGTGGACAAGGCCTAAATGATGCAGAATAACTACAACCCAGTGGTAACATGGCACAAAGCAGCACATAGCTATCTGGCTTCCCAAATTGCTAAAAAACCACAAGAACAAGTAGAAAGAGTTGATGACCCCTGACTAATGCTTGCATCTTTCAAGAGATGTTCAATGTCACTTGCAGTCTTACAAGCTGTGGGATCACAAAGGAGGCCTGTGCTTTCCTCACATCTGCTCTGAGTTCAAAACCATGCCAACTTAAGAAACTGGATCTGAGTGATAACAAACTTTGGGACTTGGGAGTTGGGCTGTTTTCTGGTTTACTTGCAAACCCGAACTGTAACCTCGAAGAGTTGAGGTAGGTGTGTTATGATATTATCTCTGTAAGATTTCTCTTTTATTTGTGTTTTTGTACTGTTTATGGGCCAGGAACAGAAGGTATGTCGTCAACTGTTGTATTTGTTTGTTTAAACAGCATTTTGGTAAAAATGGAACACTATGGAAACAGCTTTTTTTCCTGTACGTGACAGCGATTTGCTGCAAGTGGAACTGACAGAACATCAGGTTTTTTTTATTTTTACCCCTCCGTTTAGCCAAAAACACTGCCTTCATGGTCATCCAATCTAAATGGCTACGTTTACATGCAACCAAATAATCTATTAGTAATCGGATTGACGGCTCAATCGGACTGAAAAGCCTTCATGTAAACACCTTAAAGGGACACTTCACCCATTTGCATTAAGCTTTGTATCTTTAGAAACCCAGTCATATTTTTGAATGGTCATGGTTTATTCCCTTATTTTCCCATGAGATGGGAGAAATAAGGATTTAAGTGTTCCACTTCCTGCTTTTTATGACGCAAAATGACGATTTTTACGTCATAAAAAGCAGGAAGTCCCATTTCTTTGTATAAGGGTTGAGACTACAAACACTAGCTCATCATTTATCCAGGGTGTGGGACCCACTCACGCTACAGACCTATTACAGATCAGTGGGTGGGACTTCACTTGCAGATACTGAAATCAATATCAGCCATCTTGTTTGAAAGCTAAGCTAACAAGCGCTGTGGAGATAGGAAGTTACGACAATGACGGAAGAAACTAAACATGATATGGAAGAAGTGGATTTAGAAATTCTGCTGCTCGAATCCGATGCTCGAATCCGATGTATCTTTACGAGCCGCAACATAGTGAAGAGCAGCTGAGGCTGATGGAGGAACAGGAGGCGGCTGCCTGTCGCGGACGAGGAGCCCGGGCTGGCTCGAGCTGGGCGGACTGCTGGTGTCTGTGCTCTCGAATTTCAACGATGGCAATTTCTCCTGGACGAAATCTCTGAATCAGACGAGCACACGGACGTTTGTGTTGTGATGTGAACCATCCTAGTTTCGCCTGACTGAACATCCCGGTATCATGCAATAATTCACCATATAGAAAGAAATACAAACGAGGAGTAATTCACTAATGAGTTTGCCAATGTAACGGGGTTCGTTGTTGTGGGAAGGAGGCGGGAACCGGCGAACATTTAAATATTTTAATAAAATAAACAAATACAAAACAACAGTATAAGCCAGCAGCCCCTCACAGACGACTGCTGGCCACACACAACAGAAACAAAACACAACATAAAATCAGGCCTGTTCCTCTCTCGATCTGCACTGTCGTCGCTCCTCCTTTTATGCTTCCGCTCCTCCGAGAGAGATGCGAGACCGGTGCATCTCACAGGTGTCATTCATTATCACTCACGCCACCGGCCTCGCGCCGTCCTCTCACGTCCCTCGCCCTCGTCCTGCTCGCCACAGCCAACTAACTAGAAATTTTGTGTGAAATGAATTTCAAACTCTGGTTGCAGCTAATGTTAGCCTTGTAGACGAAAGAGTGATTTCTCTGATGTTTGCGCTGTTCTGGATTAGTGGGAGTGGCTTGCGGAGCTGTGCAATGTGGTGCATTGTGGGAGTTGTTGTCTTGAATACAAAAGCACCCTAAAGTTATTTTCTGTCTTTTCTCAGTCAAGAGGGCACCAAATTCAAAATTTATTTTACATTTCGACTACATATATGACCCACTTTCAATAAAGATTCATGTTGAAATGGGTGAAATGCTCCTTTAATCGATCCGATTGAGCTCGATCCGAATGAAATTTCGATCGGATTGAAAGGGGTGGTTCATTCCTTTTCTAATCCAATCAAGAGGACATGTAAACATTTGATTGGATTGAAAACCAAAAATGAAAGGATTACGCATGTGCAATAACGTATAAATAGTGTAATGAGGTATGAAGCGCGGGACGAGCTGTTCTTCCTGTTGAATAAAGTGTCGTATAAATGAGTGTCTCGTCATTCTAAAATTCTCCTTTCACTGCGTCTGTGAAGTAGAGCAGGACAACCTCCCACCAGTCCTTGTTTCGGATTCTCATCCACAGACGACTGGTTTTGGGTGCAGGGAGGGGCATTTTTACTGTGTGATAAATATAAGCAGCACCTATGGCACAACGTTTCATATGTTCATTGTCTCCAAATTATGACCAGAAATGGATAAATATTAAGTCTGCTGTTTAAAACAAATAGAGAACCAATGTAGTAGAATGGTTATTATGCGCAAACAGCGGGAAACTCTGTATATTTGTGCAGTGTGCGTATGTCATGCGATTCTTTGCCGTCTTTAGCCGCTGCCTACAATGCGCTGGATCTTTCAATATACACCAAAAGTAACTCACTCCCGCTGAATGTTTACTCTTTGAATTCTTGCACCAAAGATTAAAACAAGTCGACACCATAATGACTAAAAGTTTGCTAAGAAGTATTTCCTACTAAAGTAAGGTGGTATTTGACTCTTCAAGCGCATCCACAAAAGAATGGTGGGAGTGGCCTTGGATGGCAACATGCCCAGTGCATTATGGGTGTTGCAGCCAGTTTACTCTAGTCAGGTGTTTTCTAGTTAAGTTTTATTGAAAGCCCATTTTTCCAGCGGTGAAGTACCCCTTTAAAATCGGTACTCTCGTAAGGGAGAGTCTGTAACCCCATAATGCAACCAGCATCTCAAAATTGCACTTATGCTTCTTTTGAATATATTTAGAACATATAATAACCATAAGGTTTTGTAATTTGATACCTTGGGTCATACCGGATTCAGTTGTTTCAAATTATGCCCAACTCGATCATGGAATCCTAATCATCCCCAAAAATGGCATTACATAGGCACTGAGACAGTGGTCAAAAGTTTTTGATATGTCAAATTGTTCATTCATGTCATACAACCAATTTGCAAGTGAGGATGCCGAACGGGTTTTAGAATACTTTTGGGTTGGAACCTTGAAATCATATTTTTTACATTGCATTCATCAAATCCTCCCCAAATTTGACACAACTGGTCAAGAGCCACTCACATATTTTTAAAATATAGTTCATGTGTGACCCATTGATGGCAAGGACATACTGTAGGCACAATGAAATTTTAAATTTGGATTCTAAATTATAGATCTAGTTCAAATTAGAAGATATCTGCTGCCATGCTTAGCTAATTGCTGTATTTTTTGGGCCATTTTCTTTTCTCTTTTTTTCAGATTAGAGAGATGCAATTTTACATTTAGAAGTTGTGGATTCGGTATGGAGCACTCTCGTCTCACAGCTCTAGATCTTTCTGACAATGACGTGCAGGATTCTGGGATGAAGAAACTCGCGAACTCACTGAAGAATCCATCCTGTAAACTTCAGAAATTAAGGTTGTGCTTCATTTTTCACAGCACTTGATCAGCTCTGTTGTCGTATGTGACGTAATTCTTTTTAAAAACGAAAAGATATTAATGGCGTAAAAAATATATAAATTATCTTGTCATAATTTACTCATAATAATTGACCAATCAACTGCTAGGCTTTACATGTGATCGTTATTGACTATCCTAGCATTAAACTCTATAACTAGATGGCTTGATAACGTTTTGTCATATTCTCTAGGCTGTCGTGTTGCAGACTGACCGATAAGGGTTTCTCATCTCTGGCTTCAGCTCTGAGATCAAACCCCTTCAGCCTGAAAGAGCTGGATTTGAGCAAAAATTTCCCTGGATGCTCTGGAATAATGCAGCTTTTTACAGTCCTTGGAGAAAAGATCTGTGCTCTCGAAAAGATCTGGTCAGTATTGGCCAAAAGAACAGATTTAAAAACAAAACTTTGACCTATACCATCTATATGCGGACGTCGGACGACACTCAACTTTACTTGCCTTTGAGTACGAGTAGTAGGGACTTGAGTGCAATACTCCTTAGGTGTCTGGAGGAAGTAAAACTTGGATGGACGATAATCTTGTCCAGTTGAATGAACGGAACACATACATTAGTTTTGGCCGTGTAGTTTGTAACAAGACTGTAAATGATAACTTCCCATGGGTTAGTTACCTGCAGGGTCAAGTAAAGAACTTGGGAGTCAATTTGTATTCCTCTGAAGTTCGACAGACAGATAAAAACTGTGGTTTGGAACTGCTTTTTTGTTATCTAAGGGCAATAGCCAAATAAATTCAATTCTCTCAGCTAGTGATTTGAAAAGAATCATTCATTTTTTTTATCTTTTCTCGTTTAGATTATTGTAATTGGGACCTGTCATGGTAATGTTGCACGTCCACCTAGTACAAATGTCACGGCAAGGGTGCTTATGAATGCTAAGTAGACTAACAGTGTTACGCCATTGTTATCCTCACTGGGCTGGCTACCAGTTCAATCAATACAGGATTCATTACAAGATTTTGATAAATGTTTTTAAAGCAATCAATGGAATGGCTCCAGAATATTAAGTTGAGCTTATGATTCAAGTGTAATGCTAAGATCCATCAAATAAGCTCTTTTTAACAATTCCCAGAGTGCGTCTCGAAGGCTGATCTCACTTTTTTTTGTCGCTGGTCCAAGATTATGGAACAACCTGCCCATTAAGATTAGATCTTTCTCAACTTTAAATGTTTTTAAAGACCATTTAAAGTCATACCTGTGCTTGCTTGCACACATTATCATTATAATGGTTGTTTTATATGTTTGTTGTGTTTTTCTGTTTTCTATTATATTGTATTTGTTGATTGTTTATATTATTTGCATTGTACAGCACTTCGGAGTTACTGTGTAGCATAAAAGGGGCTCTATAAATACCATAAAGTATAATTGAGTAAATTATTTGGAGTAAGTGTTGGAGAGATGAGACATCAAGGATATCAATTATTAAAATAAAATACATTTTTGAAGATTGTAATTGTTCTGTTTCTTTATCGCTGCAGCCTGGACTCTTGTAAACTCACTCCAGATATGTGTGGGCTAGTGGCTAAAGGTCTAAGCCAAAACTTCAGCCTGAAAGAGTTGGACATGAGCAACAACAGTCTTGAAGATGAAGGCGTTCGGTTGCTCTGTCTCGGACTACAGGAAGGCAGTTGTGCATTGAAGATTTTAAAGTAAGATCAAATAACCATTTACAAAATTTCTACCTAGTTTCAAACAACAGTAATATTACATTAAAACAAAACAAGTACACCCCCAAACAACAACAACAAAAACCAATTTAAAATTAAATTAAATACTTATTTGAGAATGCAGGTTCATGACGATATATGTTTCCATATGTTTTCGTTTTTAGGTTATCCAACTGTGCTCTCGGTGACAGCAGCTGTCAATACCTGGCATCAGTTCTCAGTTGTCAGTCCGTATCTGTTGAACTGGACCTTAGCAGAAACAGCATCAGCCAGGAGATGGAGCAGTTTCTGAGTTCTATATCAAACATCAATCTTTTATTCTAGTGTCGATGCAAGTGTAGTTTCACAGGTCAATTAGAAAGTTTAGGATGTTCAGTATCCTATGTACACTGTAGATATTAATGTAACGGGTGGTGGTGGTGGGGGGAATAAATGCATGAAAACAGAAGACAAAAAGTGTTCATGAAATGGAATAGAATGTAAAAAGACATAGAAGACATTAGATTAGAAGACATAATAAAGTACAAACATGCTGCAGTTTGTGCTTAAGTAATTGTCTCAGCGAATTTGTAAATTCTTCATTGTTCATTGTGTTTGCCGTGGCAAACGTGACCTCACTAAGGAACTCAAGAGGTGTGTCTCTCATAGTCATCACATCGGGAAAGCTGAACAATCACTGCAAAGATCTCACAGAGATGCACTCGTTCAGAGAGATGATAAACAGAGAGGGACCGAAGCATGAGGTCCGCTAAAGAGAGGCCAGAGAGAGCACAGACAGAGAGATGAATATGCCAGACAGTGTGTGCTGCAGGCATTTGGCTTGTTCATGGATCTACAAAAAGGAAGAAAGAAAACAGTAAAAGAAGAAAATAGGACACAGCTCAAAGTTAGGAATTCAAAAAGGCAAAGGACATTACTGAAAGACTAAATCAAGATGACGAAAACCATCCTGCAACTCACTGGCAAGTTACTATTTTTGTTGTAGTTGAAAGACAGTTGTATTTTTGGTATTGATTCTAAGATGTGCATTATGACTTTTCAATAAAAGCTGTGTTTTGATTTATTACCATTTGTTGTGATATTAAGAGATGCCAGAAGAGTTTATTTGCTAAGATTAGCAATATTGTGTTTTTCATGTGCTGGAAACGTAAGGAATAGTTCAACCTCGTGTTGTTCAAAAACCCATATGAGACCTTTTTCTTCTGTGAAACACTAAAGAAATGTATGTGTAACAACTTAGATTTGGGTCTTTTTCCTCACGCAAATATTGTATAGAGCACAAGTCATATGGACCACTGTTATGCTTTTAAGGTGCTTTCATGGTGGTTTCCAGCCTCTGTGATTTTAAAGGGGTCATGAACTGCATTGTTTTATAGTTTTATAATGTTTCCTGTGGTGCTCTTATAATATTAGAATGATTTTTACATAAAAAATTGTCACATTTTAGAAATAAAAGGCATTTTTCCTATTCTTTGATTTTAGCCTCTGATTTGAACGCTTTGTTTGAAGGGGCGTGTCTGTGAGACTTCAGTGTAAACGCCCACTGCTGTGATTGGCTGACAGCTTTGCATATGCAATAAATACTACATGTGGAACTCTCTCGAAAACTTTTAGCACGTTTTTACTATTACAGCTCTTAAGGTTAACTAATCGTGAAAAGTGTTGATTACAGCATTATATTTAGATGGTGGCAGTAAAGGTTGCAGTGATGATGAGCATCAGTGGCGGATTTAGCAAATTGGGGGCCCAAGGCGAAGGTAGTATGGGGCCCCCCATCCGATCTTTAAAAGAGAACGAAATTGCATTTTTTTTTTTTGAAAAATAAACCATTAAATGGCACTTTCTGGAGAGTTTTTTTTTTTTTTGCAAAGAAATATAGAAAAAAGTAGGTCTAGCAAGTCTTATATTTCTGTAATTCACACAGATCAAACACAAATATGCTGACTGAATAGATTGCTAGTTGAGAAACACTGCTTTAATTAATGTTTTTATGATGACTTTGTGAAAGGTTAACTAAACAGCGTGAGCTGTCTTCCAGCTGGCCAGTAAGTTATTTGGCAAACTTCATTCATACAGATCTGTATTATGCTATAGTTTTTGATAGTGTTATACATTTCTTACACATAATCACGATGATCATTGCGTTTGTCTTACCGAATGTGGTAGCTTTATGCAATTACAGTTTGTCTATAAGCTTTTTTTTTTATTTAATGCCGACAGTAAAATGTTGCCAGATATTGCTACGAAAAACAAGAAAAACAAAACAAAATAATAATAATAATCCGAAATAAGTTCAAAGCTTGTGTTTTGAAAATAAGATTAATATATCACCCTAACATGCAACTTTCCACTTTAATAACTTCCTAAACTAAAGTGTCACATTAAATCAGAAAAACAGGTCCAGAAGACTACTGCCACCTTTCCATTAGTGGATCTGGCAACACGGAGGCTGCACGCGCGCCCTCACTCACAGCGCGCTCTCAAGCCCCGTTCACTGCGCTAGCTTCTCGCAGCAACATGAATTGCAAACACTCATATGAGGTGGTTTAAACGGGTAATTAATCATTCAGAGAGCTTGACTTTTTATTTTTGAATGTAAAAAAATGACAGAGTTCCGGACCTCGGTCACCTCATAGCTGGCACCTCACCCCGGCACCGCATAGCTCCTGTCTGCGACTAATGATTTGATGCCTTTTTTCGCAAATGTTTTTTAGAAATATATAATTTGCGAAAAGTAAAAAAAAAAAAAAACGTAAGCATAGTTTAATGGGGCATTTTGGGGGCCCCTAGGTAGGCCCAAGGCAATTGCCGACCTTTGCCTAATGGTTAAGTCCGCCCCTGATGAGCATGTAGCCGATCATAGACATGTTGAGTGCATTAATGCAGTGATCTCGTCATTGCAACTCGATTTCTGCGCGAATGCTTTCAATGTAATTAAGAGATTAATTTATTATAACGGGAGTTTTGGCCAGAGTCCTCTGTTTTACAGCTCCACCGATTGTATATATAAATATAAATAATTTAATCACAGTTTAAATAACAGATTATCCATCCTACTAAGAGAAACAATGTGAAGAAGAATATTTAGTCATTGGTTTCATTTACTGACACATAAAATGACTGATTACAGATCAGGGATTAGAATAAACACAGTTACTTACGTGTTGTGGCATTACTGTAAAGTCCATATCGTAAAAGTCTGTTTGCAGAGCCTGCGCCGAAATTGCGACTGATTTACCAAAGAATCCACAGTGAAATGTACCGAATACAAATAAATAGCGATCAAATAAGACATTCACATTGTTGAAAATAAATAACCACATTTCTAGCAGGATCCTTTGGAAGGTATTGTTATTTTAAACGGAATGATCCTGCATCTTTCTTCGCTCCTCTCCGTCTCACGAACACACCAGTGGGCGGAGCCACATTTGCAATGATGAAGTAGGCGTTGATTTTCTTCCGCAGAATGTGCCTATTAGATAAGCACATTCTACAACGAGTCATTCGCGGGGCTTGGTAACAATAAAAGCTGATTTTGGACTAACAACATGAGAGCAAGTAAATGATGCCAGATAGCTTTAAAACATTTTACGTGTGAACTGTTCCTTTAACAGACTAAAGTTGTGTGTTTAGACAGAGTTCAGTTTGTCTGTTGTCATAGTAGCAGTGTTTGTCTCTCAAGGGAGGATGTTTGATGATCATTTCACACTTCTGCTGATGATTACAGATGTTTCATTGCATTCCCCACAAACTGGATTTAAGGCCATATAAATGTGCGTTACGGTCCAATCTGCTGTCACAGCTGTGCTTGACTCATCAGACAGTACCAAATGTGGACAAAATACACCCCATTAAAATATTTCTCCAGTAAAAGTACTCCTTTTCAATTTTACTTAATACTGAAGTACTTTATTTTAATACAATTAAGTAAAAAGTACTGTTTGATGACTATCATACATTGATAACTACACCTGATAATTATTGATAATTCAAGTGTGCAAACAAGTAAACATAAAAAAAAAAATGAGGAAAAACAAAGTGTATTAATGTGTTGACAAATATAAACACAATATAAAAACAGATGTCACATCGGACAAAATGTATTAACATTTTAAAAGAACGCTGTGCAAACATACTAGTTTTACATCATTTGAAACTACAGCAGAGAAGATGCCTGGTCATGAATTTGCGTAATTTAAACAAATCAGTCCGTTTAAGGGCAAGTGGCATAATTCAGATAGTCAAAGATGAGCAAAGCAGCATGGATGTAGTCAAACTCTCTCTTTGCCAATACTACAATGTGCTTGTTTTCATTACCAGATGTCTTTTGCAAATCTGAATACTGAAACCACCGAAAATCTACCACCCAAATATTAAAAGCTTTACAAGGTTTTTTCCCCCGATAATTAAGATTCACAAGGATTTTTGAAATATCAAACGCTTTTTTTCTTGTCTTAAACATTTTAACTTTTTTTGGGAATGTATGCATAAAGTCAATCTGCCAATGAAAACAAGTCTTAAAGGGATAGTTCACCCAAAAATGAAAATTAGCCCATGACATTAGACATATCGGAATGTGAGTAACTTTAGAAAAATGTGGATCAACGCTGACTCAAGACACGACCTGTTTTGAACGATTCAGTCCAATTTGGTTCCAAAGAATTCAGAGGACGAGGAACTGGAGAGAGGTGAAAGAAAACAAGGGGGAGTGGAGGGTGGGAGAAGCCAAGGGGGAGTCCAGAGCAAGAGGAGCCAGATGTTGGTCCAGAGAACCAGCCATGACGAGGGGACGGCCGATGGAGACCCAGGTGGAGCTGACACGCCAAAGAGCCTACATGACACTGCTGGCACTGGAGACTGAGGTTGAGCCGCGGCGACCGATCCGAGGTGGAACGTGGGAACCTGAAGACTGAGGTGGAGCTGGTGAGACTGAGGATGAAGGAGGAGCCAGGAGGAACCAAAGGTGCAGGCAGGGCGACGTTTGACCAAGGCAGAGCCTGTGGGATGAGGGAGCCCGGTGGAGTCGTAAGGCTGAAGGTTTCCGGTGTAGACGAGGGTGGAGCCAAGGCAGAGCCGATGCGTTGACAGGCCGTGGTGAAGTGTTGGGTTCAGAGGCTGGAGGAGGAGCCAGAGTATCCTCTGGACTTGGCGGATCTGGTGGCCTGAAGATCCGAAGCAGATCCACACCATTCAGTGCAGGGTATGAAGAGGGGCGGAAGGGTACCAGAGGAGGCGGGGCTGAGGAACTGGCTATTAGACGAGGTGGGAGAGGGATCACAGGAGATTCAGGGATGGACAGAACCAGTAGGGAAACTGGCGAGTCAGGGGTGGGAGGAACCAGCA